CAGTCAAGGTCAGCAATGCTTCAGAGCAACAGGAAAGACTATTTCCCATGGCAGGAAGAGATGAATTATATTCCGTTGAGAATGTACAATATATTTTTAGAAGACTTCTCAATAAAAATATTATCTTCTTGCATGACAGATGGCGTTTTTTCTATAACATGTAATGCAACCTTATAGGGAGAAAGGAGTAAGCCACTCCTTCAAGGAGTTATGTGAACTCGTTTTGGGTACCAAGAGCCAGGACTTGTGGTTTCAGAAATCAATCCATAATGATGTCATCTTGAGTTCTGTTATGGTATGGATATTAACCATCTCCCAGAGTCCCATGTGTTGCTAAGTGCTTGGTCATCTGCCTGGGGCACTATTGAGATGGGGTGAGCCCTTTAAGTTAGATCATCTTAAACAGGATGTTGGGATTCTAACTCTTCCTATCCCTCTTTTTGCTTTGTTTGCGAGCTGCCACGAGCTGATCAGGTTTCCTCCACAGGCAGCCCCACCATAACATGATCCACGTCAATCTACAAAACAGTGGGGCCCTGTGTCCATGCTGTGAAACCTCTGATGCTATGGGGCAACACCAACTTTTCCTCCCTTCGTTTATTTATCTAAGGCACCCTGTCAAAGTGACAGAAAGCTAGCATAACTGCAGTGGTTTGAATAAGCATGGCCCCATAGGTTCATATATTTTAAAGAATAGTCACTATCAAGTGGGACTGTTTGAAAAGATTAGAAAGATTGGAGGCGTGGCCTTGTTGGAGGAAGTGTGTCACTGGGGGTGGGTTTTCAGCTTTTAAAAGCCCATGTCAGCTCTCTCTCTCTCTCTCTCTCTCTCTCTCTCTCTCTCTGTCTCTGTCTCTGTCTCTGTCTCTGTCTCTGTCTCTGTCTCTCTGCCTGTGCCTTGTGATTCAAGATGTAGCTCTCAGATACTTACCCAGCACCAGGCCTGCTTGCCACTGTGCTCCCTGCCATGACAATAATAGACTAAGCCCCTGAAACTGTAAGCCAGCCCCCAGTTAAATGCTTTCTTTTATAAGAATTGCTTTGCTCATGGTGTCTTGTCACAGCAATAGAACAGTGACGAAGACGAGTTTTTAACTAGAAACTTTATAAAGACAACAAAACATTCTTTGAGAATGTCCTGTTCCTTACTATAGAATAAGATTCAAATCATCTTATGATAGCTATTTAAAATATGGCTATGTATATGTAAATGGTTACCGAACATTCTGCCAGGCTCTGGTATCATCTCCGACACCCCCCACCCCCTTTAGCAAATTGTGGCTAAAACGGCAATGTCTCTGCTCTTGGCTGCATTTCTCCTCTGCTTTTTGACAGTCCTCTCCTCTGTCTCCCACTATGCTCCTTTCATAGTGGTCATATTGGGAGTGGTGCCCTCCTTTTCCTGCCAGATGAAAATAAGACTGACTAAAGATGGAGAGAAGACAGCAAGGGGTGGAAGGAGGAAGGAAAGCAAGGTGAGCCGGGAAAGGGCGGCTGCTGAGTGGGCTGAAGCATCCTGTCTATGGGTGGGATGAGCCAAAGATATCTAAGAACAGAGTGTAAGCACTTAAGAGGCCAATATACGAGGATTAGGACTTTGAGGCTGGCCTGAGCTATACAGTGAGAGCCTTTCCCAAAAATGTAATTGCCTCCCTAACCAAACAATAGTAAAACATATTCTGATTTGTTTGGTGTGCAGTGTGAGAGCCTCCTTCAGATCAACATACATACCAGGAAATTCATGTTCTCCCCATCTCCATAGTGTGTGTGTATGTGTGTGTGTGTGTGTGTGTTGTGTCTGTGTGTTCAAAGGAAAGAAGTTCATCTTTGCATCAATTTACTGTGAAATAGGCAGCCAATGTCATGGAAATCTAGCCCCTTGAGAAGGTGATTGAGTTTCAGTGTGAATATCGTACTTCCTTAGGACAAAGAAGTAGTTTGGATCAGTTTTATCTCCCTCTTCCATGCTGCTCTGAACATTAATGCTGGCCTTAACGGCAACGGTTTTTTCATTCTTCTTTGGTTTCCATGGTGCCCACCATCCTCTCACTGACATAGGATACTTATTACAGTCCAGAACTGCACAACCATTGTCAACGATTGCCCATACTTACAAAAGTGGCCAGCAGGAGCAGCCTTGTACATCTTGTGTTTATCACATTGCTTGGTTGCATCCTTTTCTCTGTGCTAATTTAGTCTCAGGTTGCCTTGTTTACCGTAGTGCCTGACAGAACCCACTGCTAATGATGTCAGTAAGAGGCCTCAAGAAGTAACTGACCTAGAAAGCAAGTTCAAAGTAATTAAGAGCTACAAAGGTAGAGAAATCAGAGGCCATTGCTGACCATGTCATCAGGCGGCATTGCTGACCATGTCATCAGGGGCCATTGCTGACCACGTCATCAGGGGCCATTGCACTGTGAGTGTGAGATTGAAGAATAAAATTAAAGGAGACCATTGAAAATCCAGTTTTGAGGTGAGATCCACAGACATTTAAAGCCGGCCTATACTAAATATGGAGAAACAAAGAGAGATGTAATGGAAGACCAGACACAAAAGTCGTGGTCAGACAAGAAGTTTGTTTTCAACATTGCAATAAAAACCTTGACTCACGTGGACATTTGAATTTACTCCTGTTTCTGAGCGGCTTCAAAGATTGGAGGATCTTTGCACAGTAGGCAGAGTCTAGAAGGCTGATGTCAAGGCATTTTGGAAGGAGTTTTAGAAATGGTAGGTCATTTACATATAGAATAAATTTTGCTTGGTGGGCTGAATCCTCAGTGCCGTCCAGATCTGTGTAATGCTCTCTGTGATGATCACACAATGGCTCGATGTTTCCTGTGACATATTTCTCAGCATGTCCCATTGTTAAGCATCCATGACTGGACAGAAAGCAAAATGTTTCTCTCGCTTTGACCCTGGTTTCTTTCTGCTGTGTCCTGTCTCTTGGTTTCTGTTACACCATGGTGAGAGGAGACAGGCTTTTTAGACTTCTAGATTTCATGAAAAGTGTAAACTGCTCTTATGTGAAGGTCAAGGAGATATGCCTTAGTAGAAGTAACAATACATCTATTTGTTCAGAGAGGAAAAAGAGATGAGGTATTGTATTTTCGTGGATTGATTGAGTGCTTGTATGCGTGTGTAAATGCATATATGAATATATACACATGCCATCCACACTTCCACCCTTATGGAGGTTAGAAGACAAACAATAGTAGTCACTTCTCTACTTCCACCTTGGGAATTCTAGAAATCAGATTTTCACCACGGGAATTCTAGAAATCAGATTTTCAGGCTTAGTTCTCATCACTGTTAGGTGCTGCACCATCTCTCTAGCCCTGTTTGTTTGTTTATTTATTCTAGGTATGCTCTCACTCCCTGTCCATCCTGATGGTGAATCCACAATGGATCCCAGGCTGGCCTTGAACTCATAGCAGTTCTCTTGCCTCAGCTTCTCAAGTGCTTGGATTTTAGGTATGAACTTCCACTCCCAGCAGGAAAAGAGATTTGAAGACTAAAAAGCAGGGTTCTTTGATTGAACATTCTGAAATATTTCACTGGCTGCTGCATATATACAATAAACTATAAAATTTCCCCAGACCAGTAGCTTATTAAGTTTTCTCCATTAACCATTTTCTGTAATGTATTAACCATAGCAGGCTTCTATGAAATGCCAGTCTCTCCTCATTTTGGTATTGTTGCTGCATTTGTTATCATTATTAATGCCTAATTATTCCAAGAACATAATATGTAAAGTATTTTGTTTCTAAATGGATCTATAAATTCTATAGTAAACTCTAAACAGAAATGAATTTTTGTTTGAGGAATGGATTTGCTATTCAAGGGAAGAGGAAGGCACTATAGATCAGCTAGATCAATTTCCCAATGATTTAAAGGGCAGTACACTGCAGCATCTGATTAAAGCAGAAGAAATTACTCAGAGATTCAGGGCGTGGAGATCTCATTTGGAAAGACAGATACTCATTGTACTCTGAAGCATGGGATAAATTAGCAACTCGTAGCTAAAACTCGCCCTGCAAAATGAGAATACTTTCAAGATTGAAAGAATTTCAGTAAATTCAAGGAGGGAGCCCTGGGGAAACTAAAAGCATGTAAAGAATAGGGAGGTGGCTGTTACGTGAAAAGATGGCTCTTATGTGATAGGTGTCGCAGGGACTTTGGCTTCTATATATGCCTCCAACTCTAGGTGATTTCAGAATGTCCAGATATTGCTACAAGGATGTGTGCTTGCCACATTTAAGTGAACTCTCTGCATTGCATATGATGCTGGACTGGCAGATGGTAGCTGAAATTAAGTAGCTTCTTACCCCAACAGCAGGCATGAAAAGCCCTTTTTTTTGAGTTGTTGGTCAGGGTCCAGCTTTTGTCCAAGAGTCTTCCCAAACATTATAAGCTATTGGTGTTGCCCAATAAAGGTCGAAGGTAAGTGCCTGTTGCTGAAAACACCACACATTTCAGATATGAGGTGCAGAGCTGGAACTAGCCTAAAAGCCTCCTTTCTGAGGACTACCTTTCATGGTACCAGAAGGTCCCACAAAGAGAAGCAACAACAGCCCTACCCAGATGTGATGTCTATGAACTATAGCAATGAACCGGCAGCACTAGTACTGTCATCTGTAGCAGTGGCACAGATACCTTGGCAGTAACCAACAGCTCTCTAATTGGACTTAAGACATGATGAACTAGAGGGAAGCCCATCGCTGAGGGAAGTCAGGGCAGGAACCCAAATAAGGAACTTAGAGGCAGGAACTGAAGCAGAGATCATGGAGGCATGCGACTTTACTGGCTGGCTCTCCACACTCATGTTTAGCTGCCTTTTGTATCTCGAATGGCCACCGACTTCAATATACTACCCACAGTGGACTAGGCCTTCCCACATCAATTGTTAATCAAGGACACACTACACTGATAGATACATTTTCTCAAACGTCTTAGTTTGAGAAGAGATTCCCTCTTCCTAGTTCTTGACAAGCTGACAAAAACTAACCATCCCAGAATCTCTCCTCATTCATACTTTCTGAAATTTTCTGTTTTTCCCTCTCAGTTTTGTATGCTCACTCTCTTGTGCACAATAAGTAGACAATGAAACAGTTTATATTGAATGGGCGAAATTCCAAGATCTTATGGGCCAATGGAGAAGGTCTTTTGGTCAATTCTGCTGATCTTCCCGATTCTATTGATCATCATCAGAAAGGCAAGACAAGGAGCTTCTTATCCAAGAGTCTGTGACACCCCCAACATTAACAAAACTGCAGAAGCATCTTTTACTAAAAGTAGGTCAGCTGTTTTTTTTTTCTCTTTTCATTTCTCATGCATTTTAACTGAAGAACTTTTCAGGCAGGGAGGCTAAAGAAAGGCCGAAAGGAAACACCAGTAACCTCAACCTCCAACGATCTCCATTGAGGCTTGATGAGATTTCATTTGAATGTGTGCACACACACCTGACCTAAACAATTTACACTGGGTATTTGTTTCCTTTCATTATATAATCTTAACGACTATGAGTTCTTCTCCTATATAGACTGCCTCTGTTCATACTTTGGGCACTCAGCTAGTTGTCAATAGCAAAATAATAAGAGTTAATGCTGAGGGGAATTTCTTTGTTATGTTTGAACTTAACCACAATTCTCTTCAGAGTAAGTTCCTCAAAGTGAAGTTCTTAGTGAAAAGAATTACCAGACATTTTAAGGCTTCTTCCGACACATACAATCCTATTTTTACCCAGGGACACTGGGCAATTTAACAATTCTATGTTGCATATTATGTAGCAGTTGGATATTATTATTAATTGTTTTTGGCCATTTTAGTAGACAAACATTAGTGTCTCCTTATGTCTATTTACATTTCTTTCAGCATAATAATCCAAGAGAACATCTTTCACAGTGTTCTGCTGGCCATTTGTATTTCTGTCTTTGTAATTTCTTGTGTGTGATCATTGACTATTTTTCTCTTATGTTAAATTCAAATGAAGGAAATGAAGACTAGGCATTTAGACCACCATGAAAATCCCATCAATAAGCATTATTACCCCCTCGTTCCTGCACAGTGATCCTCATCCTTGGACAAACTGCTATAAACTGACGTGAGCACAGGAAATCTGCTGAGATGTCCTTGAGACTCAAGTTCACTCAGAGGACAATGCCAACTGTTAACATAGGGCTTATAATACATAAGAAAGAAAGAATTCTGGAGGTAAGAAGCTGCATCTGCTTGGATCACACTCTCTATCTGAACTTGATTAACTGGGGAGTTGTGCAGGGGTGGGGATGGGGGAAAGTTGACTTCTTCAGCAACGTCCCTCCAGCTGCTGCTCTTGTCAGTGTACACAATTTTGATGACTAGAAACACTCACTTGGCAGTGTGGGGGGCTTGGTCTCTCTGCAACCTCTGGGTGTTTCGTGAGAGCCACTGGAGGCATGTGACCCTCTTGCTATTCTTGAACAAAGAGTTCAAGAATTATTGCTCAATGGCTGCTTTTCCTCAAAAAACCTCAAGAAGAGGAACGCTTATAAGGAAGAGTTTTCCAAGGTGATGGAGTGAGACCTGTGTGGCTAGGGATCCCACCGCTCTGTTTTATGACCTAGGTAAGGTGCAGACTCTTGCTGCAATAGGAGTTGTGTAGCTTCTCGGTTTGAGGTAAGTGTTTGGAATTATTTGGAATTAAAACCCTGGTAGTCCTTGTTGCAACTTGAATGTGAAAAGGCACCATTAAGGCTCATGTGTTTGAGAAATTGGTTCCCACCTGGTGGGTTTGTTTTGGGAGGCTGTGGAAACTTTAGAAGGTAGAACTTCACTGGACGGAGTTGGTGTGCATGTAGGGTCCCTTGAGGTTTTATAGCCCCACACCACTTCCGGTCAGCTCTCTGTTTCCTGACCACAGACACAAAGATGACCTGCCCCTCACTACTTCTTGACACCCTGCCATCCTTAGTCTGATGGCTCTGTTCCTTCTTGAACTGCAAGTCAAGCAAACCTTTCCCTGCTTAAGTTGCTTCTGTCAGTTGGCTGTTGTTCACAGCAATGAGAGAACTGATGTCACTGTCTTGGTTTTATTTCCTGTGGTGGAGATTAAAATAAAAAATACCATCATTAGAGAAAAATGCTTACATGGTAAATTAGAGGCTGAGGCCTAAGTGTGAACGGACATATTTAAAAAGAACAATAGTGAAGAAAAATATCAATGGAATGCTACCCCTGGGGCCAGGCCGGACAAGGTTCAGAAGAGTTGGGTTTCTTGATAAACAAATAGGAACTCTTTTCTCAAGTTAGATAAAGATAATATACCCCCCACTTACTGGCAGAATAAAATCTACAAATTTTTGGTTCAATGCCTAAGTAAGATTCATATCTGTGGTTTTATTCAAGATTCTTGCTATGTTTTTCCAAGGAGGAAAGATTACACACTGCGATGTACAAGCTTATGCAGCAACATTTTTATTTTCCCTTCATGCCCCCTATAGTTTTCACTCTTGCAGCATCATCAAAATAGCCATTTAGTCAGACAGCCAGACATCATGTATGTGGCTTCTCAGCAGAGGCAAAGGGCTCATTCTTGATGGTGTCGGAATCGTCGTTCATGGTCCTTAGAGGTAGTTAATTGAACAACAGTAATAAACCATGAATGCCTGTTTTCTCGTGGATTTGAGGTGGGAATTGCATAATACCTTTGCTCTAAGCTAGGAGATGGAAGTTCAGACAATGAAGTCATTTAACCAAGGTCTCCTAATAGCAGAAGTAAGATTCAAGCCTAGGGATGATATCTAAGATTTTCTTCTTCCTTTTTTAATGGTTGATATTTGCTAGAGAAGTGGGTATCATTTTCTTAAGTGGTGTAGTGACTAGAAAATTAGGTAGGAAGAACAGAGGGTTCAGAGAAAGAAAGGGGGATCCTAGAGGGTAATGGGGGTGAATATAATTACTTAATATATATATTATGTATATATATAATATAATGCAATATATTAATATATAATATATATATCTATATATCAATCACTCAAAAAGAAAAAAATATTCTATTTCCTACCAATACTACCAACCTGAACACTGTGCTTTCAATACATAGACCTTTAGAAACACTCAAGTAGATTTCAAACCACAGCAGACAATAAAAGAAAAGAGTAAACAAATCAGACTTTATAAAAGTAACAACAACAACAACAAAATGCTTATTGAAGTATACTATCAGCAGAGTAAACAGGTATGTCACAGAATGGAGAAAGTATTCACAAGTCACACACCTAAGGATCAGGATAAGAAGCCACAATTCAGCAACACAAAAGCACAGCTCAACAATGGGCGTAGGACTTGATGTAAATTTTCTCTGAAAGTCTGCAGTATGTCATAAGAGCCCCAACATCAAAATTCACTAGATGCATGTGGGTACCAAAGACAATCAATTACACAGCATTCTCATTCATTAGGATGGGTAATCAAAACAGCAACAACAGAACATGCAAGCGCTGGTGCTGCAGAGATATTTGAGCCTTTGTGCATGTGGCGGAATGTGAAATGATTCAGACCCTACAAAAAGCGTCTTGAGAGCTCCTTTAAAAGCTAATCGGAAAATTCCAAGGGATCTGGAAATTCCCTTTGCGGAATCTATCAAGTGAACTGAAGGAAGGGGCAGAAACGGGTACCTGTGTAGGAGTGTTCACAGCATTATTCACAGTGGCCAAATGTCCATCAACAGGTGAATGGATAAGCAAAATTATATACATATCTCTCTGCATATAAATATATGTATATATGAATAGCCACATAATCGAATATCATTCGACTTCAAAAGAATAGAAGTGACATTACTGAACGTTAAAGCCATTATGTTAAGTGATAAATCTAATTACAAAAGGACAAATGGCAGACAGTGCCACTGAGTTAAAGTACTGTCGTAGAGTTTCTATTGCTGTGATAAAACCCCATGGCCAAAAGTAAGATGAGGAGGAAAAAGGTTTATTTCTCCTTTTAGGGTTATAGTCCATTATCTGGGGAAATCAGAGCAGGAACCTGAAGGCAGGAATGGAAGCAGAAGCCATACAGGAGCACTGCTTACTGGCTTGCTGCCCATGGCTGGCTCAGCCTACTTTATTATAGTACCAAGGACCATTAGCCAAGGAGTGGCTCTGTCCCCTATGAGCTGGGTCCTTCTATGTCAGTCATCAACCAGGAAAATTCACTACAAGCCAATCTGGTGAGAGCCAATGTAATGGGGGCATTTTCTCTACTGAGGTTCCTTTTTCCAAATGATTCAAGCTTTGTCAAAATGGCTTAAAACTAGCCAGTATAAGTAGGCAAATTTGTGGAGACAGAAACTAAAGCCATGGCTGCTGGAGGCTTAAAAGACAGGGAACGGGAAATGGCTTAATGGTCACAGAGCTTCTATTTGGGATAAAAGGAAATATCTTTGTAAAGGGTCTTAATCACTGTTACTATATTACACACCTAAAATGGTTTAAAAAAAATGAGGTAAAATTTGGTTTTCAAAAATGATGTTGGAAAGGAAAGTCCAAACTACTGTGACTGCAGTTGTGCTGGCAGAAAAGAGAGTTTAAAAATCCAGAGGGAAGCAGGATATGTTTGCAGGACACTCAGCACAGCTGGAATGCTATCCCTGGCATCTGTACTGTTTTTATTTTCTTACCTGCTCAGGTCTGATGATTGTGTTTCCTGTACATCTTTAGGTCTATAGGCAGAGTTTTCAGATTCACTGCTAACCGTCTCCAAAAGGTCTGAAGTGATCATAACACTAGGGTCAGTTCATGGGAGCATAGAGCCAAAAGTGACACCAGGAATACATACATAATACATATAATTTCTCCTGAAATCTATATATTCTATTATCTATCTATCTATCTATCTATCTATCTATCTATCTATCTATTGTCTGTCTGTCTGTCTCTGTCTATGTCCACCACAATCTGATGTTCTGTGACATGCAGTGAAAAGAGTATATGTATTAGTTCCTTCTTTTCTTTGCTATGATTAAGTCCCTGACAAAATAGTTAAAGAAAGGAAAGGTTAGTTATTGCTTCATGATTTCAAGAGATCTTGTGAATCATGGTGGGGAAGGTTTGACAGCAGGCATGTGGTGTGTTGCTCATATTTTGTCTTCAAGCAGGAAGCAGAGAGAGAGAGAGATGAAAGCTAGTGCTCACCTCACTTTTCTCTTTCTGTTCAGTCCTAGACACCAGCCCACAGGACAGTGCTGCCCGCTCAGGATGGTCTTTTCCCAGACATGCCCCAGGGTACATCTAGACGATACCTAATCTAGTCCAGCCCACCGTGTGGAGTACACACCACAGTGTACTCAGTGTCTGTATCTTTCACAGTAATCTAGTTAGCACTTGAGCGATTGGAAAAGAAAATCTGAAAATAGAATTCACTTGATGCCAAGTAGAGATTGCCACTTTCATTTCAAATGTTACTTCCTCAAACCTTAAATAGCATCCCCAGGAGCTTCAAAAGTCAACTTCCTGTGTCAGTATCATTCTTTTTGATCCATCTTTAACAGTTTCCGTGAAAAGAGGAAAATGCAGTGGCCAGTTTTCTTTGATTTTGTGAAAGGGGATGCTGATGCTTCCCAGCTGCCAAGAGTTGCCTTTAACAGATGTAAGAAACTAAAGCCACTACATCAGGAAATATTGAAATAAACTAACATGTAAGCTAAAATGTAAGAAGTGAGAATTAGAACATTTTGTCCTTTGTGCATGGCCAGTGTTTGAACCTTCTCCAGGGATGGCGAAGCAAATAGACCGGGACACTTGGAGGAAGTGGAAGGCACATCCATGAAGAATTACTTGCACGTGAGTAGTTTAACATCGGAGGTGGCCATGACAGTTTTTTGGAAAGAAAGGCAGAAGCAAATCCTTTATGGAAGTTTAGACAGGAGTCTGTCACTTTTTTGATGGCTCTGTATTATGTCTCCACGAATTACCCTCTCCAGAGACAATGGAAGCCTGTTTGCACTGAGCATTTTTTTTCCTAGAAAAATCAGTTGCAACAAGGAATGGAAAGCTGCAACAAACGGTTTCCTATAACCTTTAAGGACTAGCCTTCACATAGAGGAACTTGAGACACTGCTTTGTTCAAACTGGGAACAGATTTCAAAATGTCACAGGCAGCTGGGGAGTGATTCTTTCAAAGTCCCAGGTCTCAAATTACTTGCCAGCTTGAGAGAACAAGGAGAAAGAACCTGGACTCCAGCTGCTGCAGGAGAAATGGTTGCCTCCAAAAAAAAAATTCCCTTTATAAGGGGTCATTCCTCTTTCTGCCCATGATGTTGTAAAACAGATTGCTGGTCCTTGTCCCTGTCTCTTTGCACAGCTCCCAAAACTCTTAGAATCTCCAAAGTGATGAGTATGTTTTCTGTGAGAGTGGATAAGTGAAGGGTAGAAGCCTCTGTGTATTTTTAAGATGGCTGTTTAATGGTTCATTTTTACCAGCAAGGTCAACACAGGAATATTATGAGCACTTTAAGCCCCAACTTTTCACTCCAGGGAAAGAAAAGGAGCCAAAGGAAGATGGATCACCAATGGGCAAGGATACTCCCAAAGGCCAAAGCCAAGTTTGATGGTACTGTCTTCTGGATAGCTGATCTTGTGGAAGTTTCTGGAGGGTGGCCTACACAAGGAACCTGATCCACACCATTGCTTATGCATCTCCTGTGTCTGATTGGTCATATGTAGACTTTCCAACATCTTCCAGAACAGTTAGGTAAATCGATCTCCCTGGGTTCCTTGAGCAGCACATTAGTAAAACTCAAGGAGGGGATTGTGCATCTCTGATTTAGGGCCAGTGGGTGAGAAGGCCAGGCCACAATGAGGACTTACTGGGGGACACTGGGAGGAGGAGAGGGTCCTTGAGGCTAAAGGCTTCAACCTGTGGACAGCTTCCAGGTGAGACAGCCTGGTGTTCACAGGAGCCTTGCTTTATTGGTTCATGGAGGGAATCCCTGCTATTTGCCATGAGAGAACTGCATTGAGTGGCAGTGTTGGAAGAGAACATTAGAAGCATAGCAGTGTGGTTTAGTTGTCTTCCACTGTAGCTCTGGTGGACCTCTCTATGTTGACATCCAACCCCAGAATCCTTGACTCTATCTCTGACTGTTAGTGTAGTCAGTGTGCTGTGTAGATAGGGAATGGGCCCAGTAAGACAAAACTTGTGGAGAACCCTAAAGGAAGCCTTGTACCCAGAGGTGAACACCTTCCCCTCCTAAAACCTTCGTGTCTATGCATGTTGTGAAGATGACTCCTTTTGTTTTCCCAGGGTTGTATGAATGTGAACTCAAATAGCCCTTGAGAAAGCATGTACTTCAGGCTTAGAATTCAGCAATGTGAGAACACACAGATGCACAAGAGATGAATGAACACACACACAGATGCACACATAGATGAACGAACAAACACACGCACTCACACACACATGCACACACCTTACCCTGGTTCTTTGGCTCATCCCTTTTGTGTTCTCAGTCCTGGCCTGTGTGATCTTGCATCTGAGCTAGGAAATTAGCTTCCAGTATGGTCTATCTGCCTAGAGTCTCTCTTTCAAAGTCATCTTTTGTGCTACAAGTACAAGGTGGCCTGAATATTTTATCTGAGACTCACTGTCTCCTCATGCACATGCCTTCCTCTTGAGTGCTTTTTGCTCTACCTAAGATGCTGCTATACTCTTTGGTCTGGTACTCACAGTGTAGAGTACATCCAGGTCACCCTGTCCACAGCATAGGGTTTGCATTCCCTTCCCCTTTCACAGCAGAAGGTGTGAGCTACCGCTCCTCTTACTGTTCTTCCTTTTCTCTTCTCTGCCACAGTTTCCATGGAGTCTCCCCAAGTGTACCAGGCATGGTGCCTTCTCTTCTTGGTGGTATCAGCTCCATTACTCAGTGTTTAATAAAAGTTGTGTTCTGTGTCGTAGGGGTCTTTCTCCTTCTCTGGGCAGGGGACTCATTGAAGGACTGTCCTTTTCAGCTTGAGACTTCAGAGTCACCAGAGTAGATCCAGGATCAACATATTTGGGTTAATTAGGAGAGAGAAAACCGGGAGTGTAAGAACATCACTATCCCTGATCTACCCCTAGTCTCTCTCATGAAGCCTGTAGCTTGTCTCAGATAATTGCTTGATACTATTTGAATATGGGCTTTGCTGGCTATTTATTCTGTAATGAGTTTTTATTGAACCCATGTATGTGTGTGTGCATCAGACACCAAGGTGCCATAGTGAATAAAGAATCTCCTAAGTTCATTTTGTTTGTAGAAACCTTATTTCAGTTTGCTTCACGATCACTTGAGGATGGGCCCACGTTCTGCGGAGCCTACAATATTACAACTTATGAGCTTTCTAGGGTAAAATAAGATACAAAAATGCAGATACCATAAATACTTAAACTGAAAGGAATACAAGTCCCAATAATATTGCAAAATACATAACAATCATATTTTATTCAGTTGCCTTTCTGGTTTTGCTTGTATTTGTCTCATGTGAGTCTTTTGGTTTTCTACTCTTCGGTTATCAGTCCTGTAGCATATACCCATATAAGGATTGGGAAGACAATTCAGTCTTTCTGATCGCATTACTGATCAAATTGATTATTTTATCATCATCATCATTATCATCATCATCATCGGCTTACAAAGGCAATCTTTTAGTTTCCCAAGTAATTATTCAGTTTTTGGACTTTTGTGAAATTCCAGTCTATATCTGTTGAGTTTTTTTTTTTTTTCCCTGTAAGGACAGTAAGGATTTGTAAACTTTCTCATATGCTTGTTAATGTCTGAAATGTCTTTGAGCAGGTAACACTGAGCAGCTGTTCTGTCACCAAGACCCTCATTAAGTGGCTTCTCGGGCGCTATCTAGGTTATCACTGCTGCTGTCACTGTGCCAGATTCTCAACTGTCAACCTCCCCACCCCATTTTGTTTATGAGATGCATCCTTCATTAACTGAAGTGTCTGGAAATCCCCAAAGCCTGTTCTTTACCAGCCTCCAAATGTCTCATGTTGCTTAGCTCGCTTTACTACTTTTGGTAAATCTTTTGAAAGAACTTTTCAAAAGATTGTTTTGTTTTTGTTTTGTTTTTGTTATAACTTGCTTCTCGGTACCTAAATATTTTCTACTGATTGAATTGGCCACTTAGAGTTTCTGTTTATATCTTGTTAATTTTAAGCTCCATTTTACCCCTTAGCTTTATGAAACATAAAGTTCATGGTGGCTGCCATTGGTATTTTGTCTGTATTCAAATTGAGACTTGGTAATTTTTCACCAAAACTTCAAGCCGCAGGAAGAGTGACATTTTTCAAGGTTTATTAAGACAAAACAGAACACAACGAAACACGACAAACTCCATTGTCCTTACACAAAAGGAACAAAAAGAGGGTTTACCTGTAACTGTTTTTGTTGAATCATCAAGTATATTTCTAATAAACGTCCATTTTGACGAGATGCTGATAAGAGCTATCTCTCACAATATTAAGCATCTGCTCTCTGGAAAATACTTCCGTGACTCCCATTTCAAACCTCGTCTTGCCTCTGTGTACACATGAGACTGAAGTCTGGTGACATGGAGGATCTGTGAGACAAACCTCACTCTAAACTTCCCAGTCAACGCCAAAAGTCAACAGTGAGCAGGTGGGAGCATCTTTGGAACCAGTTCCTATGTTAGAGCTACGGACAGATCATTCCTTATAAAGAGACTCCAAGAGAACAGACCCTTAATTCATCTCCCCATAGTTTGTTACACCACACACAGGTCCTAGCAGGGGCTCTGAAGGGACTTCACAGAAAGTGCACCCATGCTCAAAGGCACATGTCTGCCCCACCCCGGCCTGGGACAATGCTTCTTTGAGTGAGATCTCTGGACCAGTATGATTAGCTTACAAGGATGCAGAACCTTATGTGTTATCTTCCTCCTGCTGAGTGAGAACTGAGAAGATCATTGGGACTGCATAGCCCAAAGCAGTGCCCCACTGAAGCAAATGAAAGGAAGGGTATGAACAATGCCTAGCGCTCTGTGACCATGAGGCCTTCGCTCTGTAGTGCCAGTACTGTTTCCATCACTAGAGAGTGCTGCTTTAGAATCCCCATCACCTTGGTGGGCCCCCATCTGCAACTCTCTTTGTTTAGCACCCAGTTATCATCTCAACCAGGGCTTCTCGTGCTGTTCCAACCCTACAGTGTTATATGTGTACCTCTTCATTTATGAACGGTGTGACCTTTGGACTCCTTTAACATCTGTATGTGTCACCACATAGCCAGATGAAATCCACGACATATCAGTTGTTAGGTAAGCAAGTATGCTAACAATCATGTAAGTGAAATATACACAGGTAAGCCACTCTTATTGTTTTTTTCGTTTGTTTGTTTGTTTTTTGACATAGAATCTCACATTGCCCAGGTTAGCCTTGAACTTTCTCTGTAGCTGAGGCTTACCTTCAATTGTTGATACTCCAGTCTCTATTTCCCTAATGCTGGGATCCCATGTGAGAACCACCATTCTCAGTTTAAGATAAACTATTCTTATCAAGGGATATAGACATTTTGTTGTTTTTTTTCTGTAATTCTATATTGTGCATTCACCTTATCTCATGTAAAAATACTGTAAATATATTATGAATATCTGATGAGGGGACAGTAAATCTATTTTTATTTGATGTGGGTCTATGGTCTTCTTCTATGGGTAAATGAGACTAAATATTAATTTGTCATAGCTGCAGTGACTTGTGACTTACCTATGCAGTGTTTAAGTAACTTGCTTATGTATAGCAACATGACCCAAATTAAGTGCTATATATCCCTGCAATAAGTATTAAGTAATAAGAAAAATGGATAGCTAGAGCCCTATTTTTTTTCTGTCCACTTTTGTATGTTAACCATAGAGCAAGTACTGGCTACTGCTGCACAAAACTGAAAGAGGAGAGGATCCTTGAACCGTTAAGCCTATTTACTGAAACAACTG